CTCTAAACTGCCGTAGCAGGGTTCTTGCTGAAACTGGACAGCACGGAGATGGGCACAGGAGTCTGAGGTCGGGAGTTCAGAAGAGGGTTGAGAAGAGCCTGACAAAAGTTTGGTTAAGGAGAGAGGCTTTGTCAACCTCAGTTTCCTTGTCAAGTGGGGACAACAGTGCCACACGATCCATCCACAGGGCTGTCGTGAAATAAAGACACCATGTAAACCCTGCATTGCTGAACAAACTGTGAGCGAGGGCATCATTGGACGTCGTGCCTTCCGTGTTAAGTAGAACTTCCAACACTGCATCAGAGCTGGAACTCAGGCAGACCCCACGTGCTCCTGTTTGAGTAGCCCACTGTTTTTTTTTTTTTTTTGAGACAGAGTCTCACTCTGTTGCCCTGGCTAGGGTGAGTGCCGTGGCGACATCCTAGCTCACAGCAACCTCAAACTCCTGGGCTCAAAAGCAATCCTCCTGCCTCAGCCTCCCGAGTAGCTGGGACTACAGGCATGCGCCACCATGCCTGGCTAATTTTTCTATTTTTAGTTGCCCAGCTAATTTCTTTCTATTTTTCTCAGTGAGAGCGAGTTTTGAAGCAGTGGGGAAAAGAGGATTTATTGGGACAACTGGCTAATCTTTTGGGGGGAAATCAAATTATATTCCTATTTTACATAATAGTTCCAAATAAACATAAGGCAAACAAATATTAAATGTAAGAACAAAACCATAAGGAAAAGGTAGTTGAGTATTTGTATATGATCTTGAGGAAGGGTTTGGGAGTGCGAGGTTAAAGAGAGAAAAGAAGCTTAATAAGTTTGATTACTGACAGCTTGCCATTTGCAAAAACAGATGCAAATGCCATCTAGTGCAAAGAACATATTCTTAAGGTATAAAGAGTGCTTACAGGATGGGATGTCATAAGAGAAAAACAGTCACAAAAGAAGACATTCCAAATGGCCAACAAACAGATGGAACAACTCACCACCACAAATTCAAAGAAACGTAAATAAAACCAAAAGATTGAAAACACTTATTCAAAAGACTTTTATCAAGAATTTGGGACTCACAGAATCTTAAATTCAGCTGATTAGTTAAAACAAATTTTAGGACTATTACAATGCAATTACAATAAAATCCCGATTTAATGTTGCATCTAAAATTCTAAAACTTTAAGAAATGCCATTCCATAATGTGAGCAATCTAGAATAATATTCTAGAGCTATTAGACTTTAATGCAAAGATAAAAATTATTCATAATGAACCACTTTATATAAATAAGCATTACTTAAGTCCTTATTCTCAAAATTAAGAACCTTAAGGTAAAATTGGGTAGTATAAACTTTGGCCTAGGTTTTTAAAGAATAACAACGAATTCCAAAGTAAGCGGATGGGTTACCGCCACATTTGGAAACTTCTGTTGGTTCTGACTTGAGTGCGGCCGAGGCCGGGCGTGTCAGGAAAAGGTGTTCACGGGAGTGTGAAAGCACACTGCACCTGAACCCACCCTATGTGCCAAGGCCGCGGATGTTGGTTTAGAATTGTGGACTCATTGTTCCGCGCTCCTATAAATAGCCATGTGTGCACACATGTACCCTGTGTATGTGTGTGCGTGCGTCTGTGTGCCAGCGCGTACACATGTCTTAGGAAAAAAGGATTGGAGAGTGAAGGCATCAGTACATTTGAGTTTCATGAGTGAAAGGAAAGGACAGGAAAAGGATGTCAAATGCTGGCTGGAAACCCGGCAGCTGGCCTGGTAGGGACTCCTCTCTGCGGAAGCCTTCAGCCAAGATAATAAGAGCGACAATTGAGGATCTCTTGTTAAAGATCAACTTTCCCATGGGGCCAAAAGAATGCCAGGGCAGTGAGACAAAAGACACACATCTTAATCCTGACTGTCATTCATAAAACACCCTTTGTCTATTTAGTACTTGGCTCCGTGGGCCAAGGGCAGGAAAGAACATTAAGGAATTTTTATCAAGTTACGCTTTCAATGAACTGAGCTTTCTATGAAAGAATTCAAACCAATTTCATTCAGTACTTGTTTTTTTTTTTTTAAGGAAGGGTTAAGTTTGAGATGCCATATAGTAAGTGATTCTGCCGAACAACTCCAGAAAACGTTTTTAAAAATTGATTTGTTAACTAAGTTCAAACGAGGGGAGGAAGAAAAGAAAATGGGTTGCCTGGTTTTCCCCTTGAGCTCGATAAACACATTAAACATGTGGCTGCACCACCGTGGTACATTCCTGTGGGAGCCAATCACCAGCCCTCCCCCCATCCCACCCCCCAGCAAAAGGCCACAAGGGGAGCCGTACCATTTGCATGCACTAGCAGTCAATTATTGCCAACTGGTAAAAGCCTTTCCCCCTCATATAAAAAAACAAATTCATATGCTTCGGTATGGATTGGGACTCTAGAACAAAGAGAAGGCTCCTAGAACAAGCAAATTGACTTTGGAGGCTTCCTCCCTCTAGACCTCAGCAAAGAAGTTAGGATCAAATATTTAGTAGCTGTGCCTCTGGCGGGGCTGTCTCAGGCGAGGGGAAAATAAGGTAGCTGAAGGCAAGGAATGGATTGCTCTTGTGAGTGCTGCCTAGATATAAACATCTGCTCTTTCGTTACACAAAGGAGTCTCCAAGCTCCCCTCCCCCTTGCTCCTGGGATGTGTATGCCTGCTTATTTTGCAACTGTGTTTAGTCATGGAATTTCCAGAGCCACTCGAGTCTGAGGAGGAAGCCCGTGGCCAATGAGTCAGATTTTTAACTCGTGAAGAGGGTTATTTGATGAGTTTAGAGATGATGCTTGGGCACAGTCACGGCTAGTTCCAGTCATCGCAACAGAGGTTGAAGAAGAGAACACTGTTAGGATCTGCTCTATTCCCCATCGTGGAATTTGACCTGCTATTTTCACCCCACCAATTCCCTGCTCCACTGAAATTTTCTCGTTAGCACAACCAGTCATCCACCCAAATGTTCATGCAGAAAAGCCAGGGCCAGTTGAGGTCTCATTAGTTTAAGGTCTCCATGTGCTGAGAGTCTTGTTGGTATCTCGGTTATCTGTAAGAATATTAGTGACCCTCCCCTGTACACAGTAACCCTAACTAGGATAAGAGGTTAAGCTATGTGGAATCTGTGAGGTCTGTGGTCAGAGCCAATGGTTCTAATCATTCTAAGTGGATGGCAGTCTCAAAACTAAATGGAGAGAGAGCTTGATTTTAAAAAGTTTTGGCCATTGTGACACAGCAGGTTTGCATGGAGCCTGGAAATGGGTGTGTTTAGAAATCTTTCCAGGTGACGATAATTTAGAATTTTTTCAGGTCTAGGTGATATCCTATTAGCCTGACTACATTAATTCATTGTATGGAATGGCACCAGGAAGAATCTGGTTCCTAAATGAAAAGGAAAGATGCACAACCCTGTCCAGGCCCCTCAGCGGGAGCCCAGGGAGAGGCTGGCTGCTTCACCGTTTTGTGTTTCCATCTTCCTTTGCTCCGCAATGAAAATAACTCGGCCACTGTATGTGCCAGAGGTGCTGTAAGGAGAATGGTTTGGTTCCTGGCACAGGGGTAAGCCCAAAAAAAAGACCAATAAATAAATAAATAAATACAATCCTCATGAGAAATGGGAGAGAAAATAATTTGACTGTAGTTGGCCAGTTGGATCTGCTCACACAATTTCCACCTGAAGCCCTGACTCAATCTTTCTTCTTCAGCCAGCACGAGCCGGCCAGAAGATGACATTGAGACTCCAGGTGTAAAAGATGACCTTGTGACACCAGGTGCAGAAGATGTGGCAACTGCAGGTGCAGAAGATTTGGCAACCCCAGGAGCCACTGAGGAGCCCTCTAAGCCCGCTGGCCCGACAACCCCGGTGAGTGTCCTGGGAAGAGAGGCATCCGCTCCATGGGCGTGGGGCCATGTGCAAGGGTATAGCATATGCGATATACACTTGTTGGAAGGCACACAAACCGCGTTTCCTGTGCTCACAACAATCATCAACACAGAAGACTTTTGTGACCAAATGTGAGAGGGTTCCTCTCCACCAGCAAATATGCAATAAACTCTGCGACAGACACGAGCTGGGTGTCCTCTAATTCAATTCCAGCACTATGTACTGGGAGACAGTGTCAGATCCCACAGGGTGAGGGCTCAGTCCTCAAAACTCCCCACCCTCCCCCACCTCCCCGCCAGACACTAGTTGCAAGTCCAGGCCTCTGGAACTTCTGACCAACCGGCTATAAATTGGGGTTCCCAGGACCTCCCTCTTTGGGTTGGGTCAATTTGCAAGAGCGGCTCACAGAACTCAGGGCAACACTCATTTATGTTTACTGGTGTATTACAAAGGCTGCAGACGAAGAGATGCACGTGGCCAGGTCTGGGGGAAGGGGCACAGAGCTTCCATGCCCTCCCCAGGGGCACCACCCTCCAGGACCCTCTCCGTGTGCAGCTCTCTGGAAGTTCTTCAAACCCGGTGCTTTTGGGTTTTTATGGAGGCTTCATTACACAGGCATGATTGACAACCACGTAGGAATGTGACCGGCTAAAAAGGGTATGATCTCACGCTAGTAGACTGAGCGGGGAGACCCAGCAAAGCCAGTCTGTCCAGATTTCTTCTTGGCCTCTCTGTGCAGCGTTCCTTCCTCCAGGGTATGGGGCAGGACCCTCCCTGGAATGAGGGTCTTTTGACCCACAATCAGATTAGAGTCCTGCCTTGCACAGGTGAAAGGAGGGCAGGGGAAGGTCAGAGAGAGAGATTCTGTCTCCTGAGGCCTAAATCGCCCTAACATTATAACAAGGGCAATGGGAGTGATGAGCCAGGAACTGGATGAAAACCAATATATATCGTAATATCACAATACTCGATATACTTTCTGTATATAATATGTTATATCTATATATAAAATCAGTGTGAGCCACCATACCAAGAAATAGTTAATGGCTCACAACAAAAACTACAGTTAAGTCCTCATTTAACATCAATAATATGTTCTTGGAAACTGAAACTTTAAGCAGAATGACATACAGCAGGTCCTTGAATAATGTCATTTTGTTATAATGTTCGTGAGAAAAAAATTGGTTTCATTTTAAGACCTATCGCTTAAAGTCACAGTTCAGGAATCTACGAACAGTGTTAAGTGAGGACTTACTGTACTTCCCAGTTTCATCCAGTTAGCAGGTGGCTGCTGCGCTGGTCACAGATGATTTGAGAATGGAGACCAGGGCGTCTCGAACTGGTGAGGAACCAGGTTTTTAAATTTCCAATCTGAATTAAGTGCTGATTAAAAATAAATCTTTATTCATTAAGTCAAAGATTCATTGTTAGAATTTAGGATTACTATTACTATATTTCTATATTATAATAAAACTGCACTTCTTCTAAATTAAAAAGAAATTTCCAATCTGTTACAGTCCAATCTTCAATAAAAGTCATGGAGGATGCTGCAGCAATATCATTGCTATAAGGGTTTCCAAATATGTGTTCTTAATTTCTTGCCTCACTATAGACTGGTAATAAACATGGACCACAACCGGCCTGCAGACCACGCTGGTGTAGACTATGTAGAATCTCAACTGTCACGTCTCTAACCTAACGCATTTTAATGAGCTCATACATGTCTGTGGAACCTGCCATGGGCAAGACAAGATGCCAGGCACTGGAGGGATTAAGGAGGTCCATGAGCCACACCCTCAAACCTTGAGGGGCCTATAATCTCACTGGCAGCAGAACAGAGGCTCCTGCCTGCCTGTGTGATCTTGTGTACCTCACCCACCCACCCCTACTGTCTCTGTTTCAGCCATGTCGGCCTTTCTGACCTTTGAACACACACCAAGCTTGTTCCAACTAGGCTTTTGTTTTCTCTGCCTGGAACACTCCCCAGATCTTGCCATGGCTGACTTTTTCTCATGATTCTGAAGTTTGATGTCATCTCAAAGATGCCTAAAGGAACCTCACCCCTGACTCCCATCCACTAGTAGCTACCCTCTAGCCCTGAGATCAGCAGTTTACTCACCAGATTTGGCCCACTGACTGTTTTTATAAATAAAGTTTTATTAGAACACAGCAATGCATATTCAGTTGAGAATTGTCTGGCTGCTTTCCTACTGTAAGAGCAGAGATGAGTGGTTATGACAGAGCCCCTGTGTCCTGCAGTGCTGAAAACGTTTACCATGTGGCCCTTGGGAAAAAGTTTGCCAAATGCTAGTCTAGTCTAGTCTAGACTAGTCTAGCTTATATTTTCTTCAAATCACTTAAAATCATCTAAAACTACCTTTTGTATTGGTTTACGTGCTAAATGTTCATATTCTGCCACCCTGCCCCAGGGTGTAAGCTTCAAGAGAGCAGGGAATTTTTATTACTCAGATTCCCAGGGCTTGGAGCCATGCTGGGTGCATACTGGGTACTCATGAGCATATATTTTTTTACTGTGGTAAAGACATAACATAAAATTTACCATCTTAACTACCTTTTAAGTGTACATGTTCGGTAGTGTTAAGTATATTCATATTGTTAAACAGTTCTCCAGAACTTGTCTTGCAAATCTGAAACACTCTACCCATTAAAAAATAACTGCTGTTTCCCCTCCCCCTAACCCCTGGCAAGCACCATTCTACTTTCTGTGTCCATGAATCTGACTACTCTGGGGACCTCCTGGATGTGGACTCATACAGTATTTGTCTTTTTGTGACAGGCTTATTTCACTTAGCATAATGTCCTTAAGTTTCATTCATGTTGTAGCATGTGTCAGAATGTTCTTCCTTTTTAAAGTTGAGTAATATTGCATTGTATATAGGCACCATGTTTTGTCTATCCATCCATCCATCCACTGATGGACACTGGGGTTGCTTCCACCTTTTGGCTATTGTGAATGGTGTGCCTATGGAGCACTATGGCTGTGGGTGTGCAGGTATCTCTTTCAGACCCTGCTTTCAGTTCTTTTGGGTATATATCCAGAAGAGGGATTGCTACATCATAAGGTAGTTCTGTTTTTAATTTCTTAAGTAACCGCCATACTGTTTTCCACGTTCCCAGCAACAGTGCACAAGGGTTCTAATTTCTCCTCAGCTTTGCCAACACTTGCTATCGCATCTTGTTTTTTTGATAGTAGCCATCCTAATGGACATGAGGTAGTATCTCATTGTGGTTTTGGTTTGCATTTCTCTGATTAGTGACGTTGAGCATTTTTTCATATGCTTGTTTTGGCCATTTGTATATCATCTTTGAAGAAATGTCTATTCAAGTTTTTTGCTCATTTTTTTAATCGGGTTATTTGATTTTGCTGTTGTTATTGAGTTGTAGGAGTTCTTCATATCCTTATCAGATACATGATTTGTAAATATTTTCTCCCATTCTGTAGGTTGTCTTTTCGCTTTGTTGATTGTGTCTTTGGAGGCACCAAAGTTTGTGTTTGATGTAGCCATTTGTCTATTTCTGCTGCTGTAGCCTGTGCTCATTAGCATATTTGTTGAATGCTACATTGGCATGAACTTTGGAGTCCGGAGAATCACTTCCAAGTCCTGTTCTTTCGCTTACTGGCTGTGAATTTGGGCGTATTATCTAATGTAAGCCTTGTTCGTACAACAGAACTAATAATAAGATCTATCTTGTAGGGTTGTGCATGGAGTAAATGAGAATGTATTCAAAGGGCCTGGTGCATAGTGAGCTCTCAATAAAGGCTCACTATTACTCTAATGGGGAGGAAGGGCATTGAAGGATGATATAGCCTAATATGTACCAAGCAGATGTGACAGGGAAAAATCCAAGTTCAAGGGAGGGAAAGAACTAAAGTCTAGTGATCCAGTGTTTTCAGAATAATTAAGACCCTAGGAAGTCGGCATGCTGAACACTTGGCATTCATTTCTGGAGCAGACTTGATTTTATTCCTGTGCTCTCACCCTTTCTGTTTGTTTGTTTCCTTGTTTCCACTTTCGCTTTATGCCATCATGAAATTTATGTTGTTGTGCTACCTTAAATCTTTTTCTGTTAGAAAGCAGAGAATATGTTTTAAAACATTAGGCTTTATTTGCTACTTTTCCTCATTTACGTCTCCAAAAGGTGGCAACGAGTACAAAGAGCGCAACGAACCCTGACATCGAGGATCTGCCAACCCTGGAAAGCACAGTCCACGCCAAAGAAGAGAGCCAGACCGCCACAGCCCCAAATGTGGCGACCAGCCACTCCACAGGTAAGGGAACCAGTTACTCCAATAGGGGTTGATCTAATTTTGCATAATCAGTGCATTCCAGGAGTCCGTGAGCAAATATAATGATCAGCTGGACACATATTGGAATGCAAGAGTGAATTCTGAACCAAGCTTTTATGTGATAGGTTTAGAATTCAATTTGCTGTGTTGCTAAATCAAATTTGACTTACTAGGGTGCTGAAGATCTCTTTCTACCTTGAATGATAACTAGTGATAATGCCCCCACAGGTGAGTTAGGTAGCAACTGAGGTTTTGTTGCTGACCCTAAACTGATATAATGTTACATTAAGGACTTTGTGTTGACACCCACGAGCACAAAACTCAGCCAGCCTATGTAAATCTTAATAGATTCTATACTAATATAATAGTTAGCATCTTATGTTGGATTCGTGTCTGCACACGTGGAGCACGAATCTGTTCCAAACCTGCCCTACCAGGATTTGGGGTTGTACTCGTCATTCACAGTTGGCACCTGCAGCAGTGTGAATGGAATACCTCGGAGAGAAACTTCGGAGGAGGCCTTTGGGGCTTTGCTGTTACTATTAATATATTTAGACCATCGCTGATGACAGTAAGGAAAGGTTGTTGTCAATTTAGCCATGGAAAGAGAGCACTTCCTGTTTGTAGAGATTACTTAAGAGAAGTTCAGTCGTTTGGGATTTTTTTAAAAATATACCTTATTTTATAGTGATATTGGGGGACAAAAGGAGCTAATTTTCCAGTAACTTCAATGAGTGCTTGCTAACTTGATAAATTTGACATACATCATTTTATCTAGATAGGTCTTATGTTTCCATCTCTAAAATGAAAGTAAATATAAAGATCATGCCTAAAGCAGTCGTTCATCTGAACACCTAGAAAGTTATTCTTTATTGTTCAGTATATATTGCCAGGTCCAATCACTAATCTGGTTTTAAAAACTATAGTACTTCTGAGGATTTAAAAAATGCTTTATATTTATACCCTCATGTTCAAAGCAGCATTATTCACAACAGCGAAAGTATGGAAGCAACACAAGTGACCATCGATGGATGAATGGATAAGCAATGGAATATTAGCCTTAAAAAAAGAAAGAAAATGCTGACACTTGATACAACATGGGTGAACCCTGAAGGCATGTTAAATGAAATAAGCCAGTCACAAAAAGACAACTACTGTATTATTCCACTTAGATGAGGAACCTAGAGTAGTCAAATTCATGGAGACGGAAAGTAGAATGGTGGTTGCCGGGGCTGGGGGAAGAGAAGAATGAAGGGTTACTAATTAATGGGTACAGAGTTTCAGCTCTGCAAGATGAAAAGAGTTCTGGAGGGAGCCAGTGGTGATGGTTGCACATCAGTATCAGTGTAATCAATACCACTGAGCTGTACACAAAAAAATGGTTAATTTGTAGATTTTGTGCTCTCTGTATTTTAGCACAATTTTTAATAAGTTTATAAAGTGCTTTGCAATAAAACCTAAAGCTTGCTCCAAGTTGTTAAAGAAATGATTAACATTTAAACACCAGAGAGAACCAAGTATGGCTAAGTGAGGAAAGAACAATCAGTACGTGATCGTTGGTTTCAAAATTTTGGAGAAATGCTCGTTGGTAACATGGAGTGATAGCTAATTAGGAGCAGAAAATGGAGACTTCCACATTGAATATTCTGTCATAGCAGGATACCTCTCTTCTATGCCTGAAAAAACAAATTCTCTGTTGCCTTGGGAAGTAAGTCACTGTTACTTTCCCTTCCTGTCCCCTGCCCCACCCTGTCCCAAAAATTGTGATGTGGGGCACATTTCCACTTCGCATATCATTATCCCAAGATGTTTTTGCATGAGCTAAAATGTCATTATTAGTGCTTAGTTTTTTAAGAGGTAATTTTATTAGGGCAGCAGATGTCCAGTTTTCCCATGAAACGCCCAAATGCGATGATGTTCACATGTATGACACAGTCAGAGTAATTGGGAGGGAGCTGGGGAATACAGGACTAATAAGCACTAATTTAGTAACGAATCTTCCACAAACTTAATTTTACTTTTGGTAATATATTTTCTACCCGATGCTGTGTTGAGTAATAACAGTATGTTATGAGCCCGGACTCGCCATGTTAGGACACAATAAGCAAATGATTGGCTTATTCTGCTGAGAGTTGACCGCCAAGGATGACATTTTGGGAGTTGATTCGATGACATCTTTGTTCTGAAGGCTCAAACCCAGCAATCCTGACCATCTTCTATAGTGGGGGTAGCACGGTCAGCGTGAGCTCTGTATGAATGCTCCAGAGCCAGGGACTCAGCTCGAGCAGGGAGAGCTGGTTTCTGGGACCCATACTCTGGGGCCATCTTGAAGAGCCATCATGTTTTGAGGAGAGCTTTGGTACAAAGGGGGAGATAGTTTATTTCAAACCCAACCATTAGAAAAAGTAATATCTTTTCGATGATGGCTGACTAGTTTTACTTTGATTAGGAAAGGTATTGGATATCTGGGGTATTTTGCAAGCTGTGAACTAAGAATCTAGGAAGGGCTGATTATTTAATTCTCTCCAATTTCTCATTAAATCAAGGCAACTTGACTTTTTCTCCATCTCCAAACTAGGTAAACAGCCACCACCCAGAGGAGTTCAAGACTCAGTATATGAAGAGGTCAACAGGAGAAACAAAACACCTCTATTTTAAAAATAAGTTATTGTGTAAAAGTATCAAAAAGAAACTCACAATGGAGAATATTCATATTGTAACGCTACGTTTGAATGCAGATAGAAATCCTAAAATAACAGTGACATAAATACAAAGGGTGTGTTCTCTCATTAAACTCAGCGGGGCATAATCTGATTTTACTACCAAAGAGGAAGCAGGAAATAGGTATCACAAGACGAATCATAGTCTTGGTCACATCTTCCCAAACCAGAGTGTTACTCTCAAAATGAGTCAGAGACCGCGTCACAGTCCGTAAGTTTTCCAGAATCTTGACATTGGACTAAGATCCACACCTCTGGATTCTTCTGCTACCTTAACCTCTGAAACCTTTTGACCATTTATTTAAGATCTCTGTGGTTTGGTTTTTTTGACTTTGCTTTCTAAATTGGACGAGAAAAAGTAGTGTTCACAAAAGTACTACGAAGCTATAGATGTGAAAAAGGATTCATAAAGTTGATTATTATTAGTTACAAAAGCAGTATCATGTCAGAGCTTGCTTAAAAATCCCCTGATCCAGTTTATTTAAGAAATTATCCTCTTTGCTTATGGTTTGCTACTTTCCACTTAGGGTAAATTCACCTTTTGCCAATTGTTAAATTGTAGTTATTAAATCCTAATAATTCTATATTATTACATCTCTTTACAGATAATGTGGGTGGAGAGACGCGGATAACAATTGACAAAGGTAGGCTAGATTTTGGTATCAAAATATTCCTATGAGAGTTAAGAAAAAATTCCTTTGAACCTAATCTTTGGGATGAATTACATTCTTTCCTGGATTGTAGTCAACCAGAGCAGAATAAAGAAACTTTCCAAGAACACATTTCAAATTTTTTTTTCCTTAAAGAAAGACAAGGGAATTCCTTGTATTTGAAAATAAGCAAACCACAAATGATTCTGTTCTCTTAGTGCCAGCTATGGGGAATGATATCATGTCACAATGTAAGGATGAAAATACAGGCCAATTTAATAGCTGTTCACACATGCTACCCAGCAATTAATAGTGAAGCCAGCGCGAGAATATGCTTGATAGATTCTGAGACCCAGAAATCACACCATTCATAAGATGGGATTAGAGTAGCCCCAAATTTCTCCTCTTCTAAGTCAACTTATGCTGGATAGGGAAGGGTCCTTCTGACATTGCTCTAACACCCCTCCTCTGCACGCCCACCTGACACACCAGGTGCAATTCAAGGAATTTCTTAACTTCTTGCTTCTTTCTAGAAAGAGAAACAGTAACTTTTGTGAATTAGGCTGTAACTACTTTATAACTAACATGTCCTGCCTACCATCTGTCAGCTGCAAGGTACTCTGGTGAGTCACCACTTGAGAGCTTTATTCTTTAATGGATTTCGTTGGCATAGCTCTGGGGTGGGCATCCGGTTTTTTGAAAATGTGCTCAGCCAGAAAGGCCCAAGTCCATGCATCTGTGACAGAGTGACAGTTCTGTGGTTTCATGTCGGTTACCTTACAGTTACTGTGTAATTAGCGCCACTTAATGTATGTTACCAAAAATAAATATCTCTACTCTAGACTAGATGTAGTATTTTTTTGTATAGTTGGATTTCCTAATACCGGTATTTGTCATCCCCGAAGAAAATATATAAGTTTTTTAAAAAGAAAGTATATTTGGAAATAAATTCACCTGGAAAATTCATTTTAAAAAAATTAAGCATTATTTGCTATGTACCGCAGGGCAGTGGCATTGTTTGTATATACCGTGTTTTATTGCAGGTGTATGTTCTATTTGGGGTTCATGCTTTTTTTCCCCCTCTCATTCAGATGGTTTGACGACAGTGACCCTGGTTGGAATCATAGTTGGGGTCTTACTAGCCATTGGCTTCCTTGGTGGGATCATCGTTGTGGTTATGAGAAAAATGTCGGGAAGGTACTCGTAAGTAAACAGCTCACACCCACGTAGTAGGTAAACGAAGGCGGTCGTGTCTAGAGCTCAAACCTTTGAACAAACAGAAATCTTTAATATAAAGGTCATGTTCAAAGCCCCTTACCTCCACAAGTACTGCATCTGGAGTTTCCCCAGAACTAAATAAACATCTATTTAGGCCATATACATTCCCCCAAAAAAGAGAGAGCCAGAGATGGCTCTTAAGTTGACGCCTATTGAGATCTGACCAAATTTGATCTCTTGTCATATTTTTCCAACTAACTGAACTTGAAGGAAAGCCCAGGCCAAGTTTTAACGTGACCCCTCCTCACCCTGCCCTCTTTAGAAGTAGGTAGGTGGTTTCTGGGAAAGCACCTGACACCAAGCCAGGGACGTTCTAATGAGGAATTCCACTGGTGATGGGGACTTTTCATGTAGATCCCTCCTTCTGTTCCTTCCCTGCATACACCTGCGGGAATGGTCATGCACTCCCAGCTTTGACCATTGATGGGGGAAGGAACTCTTTCTCTTTATTAAACTTCCTTAAGAATTCAGAATATTCAAACTCATGGCCAGAGGAAAACTTATTTCTGTTGGGGAGATGATATATGGTGGGGGAGGGGAAAGGACTAATGATACACAACTGGGGGGCTGAGGGACAAGATGATACAGCTGCAGACCCAGTGTGTTTAGGAACTACGGATCTGACCCTGGCTATATAAGGACGAGGTGGCGTGAAGGAGGAATGAGGAGGTGAGGAGATCACCAGGTGCCGAAACTAGAACGCTTAGAGCAGCAGTCCCCAACCTTTTTGGCACCAGGGACTGTTTTTATGGAAGACAATTTTTCCACGGACTGGGGATGGGGACCGTGAGGGGATGGTTTCGGTATGATTCAAGCATATTACATTTATTGTGCATTTTATTTCTATTATTATTACATTATAATATATAATGAAATAATTATATAACTCACCACAGGTTGGGGACCCCTGGCTTAGAGACTAGGACAATAGGAACAATGACTCACAGGTTGTTATTCACAATGCCAGTAAAAGAAGTGACAGTCACCTTTCTTTGTTTTCACAGACCCTAAGAGGTGAAGGATCGTGCCGTACTGCCAACACGCATTAAAAGAGAATTTCTGACTTCCCCCGACCCCTGTCCCTGAGCTTGTGGGAGAAGATGACCCATGGAATGCTTGCCCACCCCACTCAAAATCCATGGCGATCCATCCCTTGCCACACGTAACGGAAGGAAAGACAGCTCACCAGACTTGGCTTCTCTAAGCATTTGGCTTTTGACAATTTTCTTGAATATAAATTTTATAAAAGATGATTTAAAAGGCAAACTGCCTAGAAAACAGAGCAGAACTATGTGAACTGACTTGAGACTAAGCCATTATCACTGTTGATGTTAGAAACTGTAATCGCGTGTCTTCGTTCTGACCGTTCTGTTGTTGTTAAAATGCAAAGGGATCTGGAAATATTTATATCAACGGAGCCCTTGGATCCAGTGCTACGTCAGTGAATCGCACCAGCATTTTGCAATTGCTGATCTGTTGAAATGTACACGTTATACTCTAGTTTGGTCTGTTTTTTTTTTTTTTTTAAATCTCTATGTAGTGTGAATAATCAGGTAGAAAAATCTAAACTTGGGTAATAGGTGATGAGCAACTGCCTTTTAGCTGGTCCAGATACATCATTTCAAAGACATCCATTAGATCGTAAACAGGAAGTGTACACTTTGGAGAAGACACTTTGTTTCTCATAAGGCCCCCAGGCAGCCTCCAGGCTTGCTTTTTTTACCTAAAGCCTTCTCGGTTATGACTTGATGACTCGAAGGTTTGCTCCCGGCTGCCCCCCAGCTTCACTCAGAAGACGGGTCGCCAGAGTTAAGGGGTGCAGCCTCCTCTCTTCCCTATGACACAGATCCTCTGGAGCGGCTGCTTTGCTCTGGAACATGGAGATCTCAGGGCCCCGGATGCCAAGGAAGCTGCTGGATGTCTAGTGGTGCTGGAGACTCGAGCATTCCAGAAACTGAGAACCGTGTTGGCCCCCAGGCAGAGAGAAACCCTACGTGGACCTCCGGCGTGGGAGACAGCCAGTTTTCTAATGTTTGCTCTCTGCCTCAGAGGAAAGATGTGGGGAGAAAAAAATCATCTTGTACAATATTCATATCTTAAAAGTAGCTGGATTTAAATACTTGATATAAAAATAGATATCCCCAGTCTTCGAGATGTAAGCACAAATTTCTGTAGGTTGTCCTGTTGAGAAGATCAAAAGAAAGGAGCCCGAGAGGCCATTCTGTCTCGGCCCTTCTCATCCCATAGATCCATTGAATTCTTTTTCCTAAACAAAAAGTTTTTAGACCGAGCAGATGCTCTGTCGTGATTGCGGTTGTGCAATTCTGATATCCGCTACACTTGTGAGAGTTCATAAAACAGGAAAGAGTAAACCATCAGTCGGAAGCACGGCCCATTCCTCCCATATTTCACAGTACTGTGTGGATGTTATTTTAAACAGTGTATCTGTGTGTTCCCCAAATCCAGCTGTGTGTTCCCCACCGGCCCAGGTTCCATATTTGAACATCACTTGATTGAGAGAAGGGAAGTTAGACGAGCTGTTTGAGGTTTGAATAACTCAATTTCGTTGTTTGGATTCCTCAACAGGAGTTAGGAATAATGTCCTTTCTTCTTTCCTATCCTCCTCCCCGCGCCCCCTGTGAAAAATAGCATTCGACCCCAAGTCATACACTGGACCCGGTGCCTGCTGGGACAGGACTGTGGGTTTCTTGTTCACACCTGTGTTGGTGCTCAATGCAGTGTAGACGTGTTTTCAAATAAAACATGATTGTGTACAACAATGAGTCAGACCTTCGATTGCAAATCAAGTCAAGTCTGGGTCACAATTAGGAACATCTCCAGATAAGATTACAATTTATATAAACGTCTGCCTGTGGACTTGATGGAGAGCGGATCATAAATGGTCACAGGAAGTTCATCTACAGGAAAGAAGCGCAGCTGCACCTTGCAGCCAGGTAGAGAGGTGCGGGTCAGGCAGAGGAATGGGGTGGGAAGACCAGGGCCACCTTGGTCGGAGCTGCTTTTGCCCTCTCTGGTCCTAGAGGGTTAACAAGGTTTTCCTGACTTAATTGCTCTGCACCAGAGAGTAGAGCCAAGAGAGCAAGCAGTTTCGTCTTGCCCTTACCAGTCCTCCCTGGTTATCTGACCTCAGGTGCGCAGGGCTTGGCTACCAAAGAACAGGAAGTAGCAGCCCCTGGGCGGGGCCTCCAACTGAGGGCAGCATCTCACTCCAGAGTCCCTGTTGCAGGGACACCTGCCGCTCCTCGTTCACTTGGGTTCATCTGACCATGGTTGGAGACCGCCCTGGCCCGGCTGCTCAGCAGGTGCGAGTGCGTCCCCACCTCTACCTGCACTGCTCCCTGTGGATTCCAGTATCCTGCCGTGGGTCCCCTCCCTGCCAGCCCCGTCCCCACTTGTAAAGGAGCTAGGAGCAGGCGAGCAGTTAGCATCATGCCTTCCTCAGAATAGTTTTGTTAAATCCGGAGTGTTGACTGTGCCGGATGTCAGGAATCTCAGGTGCCTGTTTCGCTAGCAGAAAAGAGCACAGTTCCGGTCCCATTCTGCTACTTACAGCTGTAGCCTCTCAGGCAAGTCATGGAGCATCTTTGGGCTCCAGTTTCTTCCAAGAGCTTCCATGAGATTGTTCAGAAAGCATCCCGTTTCTAGCAGAAAACTAGCGGGGTCTGCCTAGTCTCACAAACTGAAAGAGAGCGGGGCCCTCAGATGTGTCAAGTGTGAATTTACATCCATTACACCCTCCCCCAGGAGATGCCTGGAAACTGATGGAGCTGCCAGGAGTCCTGGAAGTCGAAGGAAACAACGCTCTCCTCTCCCATCACAGACATCTGGGGAGAGGCAGTGCTGAAGTTAACTCCGCACCATATCGAAGTCTTGTTTTTAACCTTTACTTTTTTTGTTCAACCCGGGAGCACCAGCTGAAACCCAGGGCTTAGTTCTGCTTCATGTGCCACGTTCCGGGATCAGCTTTAGTGAGCAGGGAAAGAACAAGTAACTTAATCCCTTGCTGTCTCCATTTTTGTTTTAATTCATATTTATTTCGTATTCAGGGCATGAAGCTGCTTGTGACATGCTTCTATGGGGAATGATGCATATTCTGATGCTAAAACTTTTTTTTTTTTTTTTTTTTTGAGACAGAGTCTCACTCTGTTGCCCTGGCTAGAGAGAGTGCCATGGCATCAGCCTAGCTCACAGCAACCTCAAACTCCTGGGCTCAAGCAATCCTCCTGCCTCAGCCTCCCGGGTAGCTGGGACTACAGGCACGCGCCACCATGCCCAGCTAATTTTTTTTTTCTATTTTTAGTTGTTTGGGTAATTTCTTTCTATTTATAGTAGAGATGGGGGTCTTGCTCTTGCTCAGGCTGGTCTCGAACTCCTGAGCTCAGGCAATCCTCCGGCCTCGGCTTCCCAGAGTGCTAGGATTACAGGCGTGAGCCACCGCACCCGGCCCTGATGCTAAAACTTTTTTTGCTAATTATAAGCCCACCGAAAGTGAGGGAAGAATTTCCCCAAAGTATAGCTGGGTATTAACACACACACCAACGCAGTCGCCCACCTGTGGCGTGTGCTGGAGGACTTGTCCCCTGCGACTGCGGTCCTCTGGACTCTTCCCGAAGCTCAGAGTCCGGTTGGGGAGTGCATAGTAGATCCTCGGGTTTTCAGTTCAGTAAACATAATGATACGACTGTGGTTATTGGTCAGCGATGTGGAACGAATTTGAAATCACACCCACTGGGGTGAGGCGTGGGTTTTGGCCTGTGGGCCCAGATTACAGGTGCACGCCCGCAGCGGGCAAAGCGCCAGCGTGGACCCATCACACGTTATTTCTCAGCACTTTTTCTCTATCTGGGATCCTTTTGTCAGACGCCGACTCACAGCACCGTGTGCCCTATTTCTGCATTCGAGGCTCCGGGCCACAGTA